TAGGTAACTAGATGTATAAGAGAAACACTTTATTGTGCAGGGATAGTCTGTTCTCAGCTGTGTTGCTCAGGAGGGGTGGGTCCCTAGGCAAGTTGTTTTATTGCCTTGGTTTCTCAAAGGGAAGATGGAAGAAGGGAGGGTGGACCTAGCATTTTCTTAAAATGCATTTACTGTTTTTCTGGCTGATTTCAGTTCCCTTCCAACGCTGACCCTTCACGTTTTAAAGGAGGATTGCATTTGTGTGAAATAATGCATAGTCTGTTTCCATGAGAGATGAAAGGTAGATGGGTCATCTTTCCTCTGATCCTTGGGGATGCTTGCCGCACTCCCCGGCTGCAATCTTCCCTTCCCAGACCACTTCCTGACTCTGGGACGCAGACACATGTCCTGTATGTGTGCCGTCTGTTATTCCCTTACTTTCTCCAGGCCTTCAGCTGGTTTATATTACATCAATCTGCATACATTTTGATGTAATCCACATTTTTCAAAATTGCCTCATACTATGTTTATTACACTTACGAAACCAAACTTTCTCTCCAAACCTAAGAGGCAAATGTTCTTTAATGACCTTCCCCTGTATTGTACATAGTTGATAATATCATCTGTAAATTAATCTTCTGTGAGTCACGAGGATACTATCTTCTTCCTTTTTTTTTTTTTTTTTTGGTAGTCTATTCATTTGGGTACTTAAGTATAATCACATACAAATCATTCATTTCTATGATTCTAAATTTATTTCTGTGATATTAAGCCAATCTGAGTTTTTCCAGAAAGTCATGATCGGTTTTCTTGTAATTTTGTTATCTTTTAATACATAGCTTTAAATTATATTTCATTTTGCTAGAAGGAAACAAAACAAAACTGTGATTGAATATTCGTATTTCCTGTGGTTTCCTTATGTGACTTATTTTATAAAAAATGAATACATAGCTTATAACCTGCCCCCTTCTAGTATTCACATAGACTTCCCAGGACAGAGAAAGCTTTTCAGCCACTTCTGATGCATGAGAGTTGCCAAAAGATAAAGACGTCCTTGGAAAACATTGCTATAGTATTTCATTCTGGGTTAGTTCCAGAGAGATGGAACAGCCAAGTGAACAAGAGAATTCTGTTCCATGTTAGGCCATATATATTCTAAAGTACTGGTTGTTTGATGGACATTAGCCACAGAGACATAGTGTGTATCTATAAATGGCACAGCGGTTATGGATTATGAAGTGGTTTTTGTACTTTTAGGTAGTTTGACTTACATGTTGTAAATTTTTTTTAACATTTTTTACGAAGTGGAAGAAGAGCTGGTGTTATCTTCCTTTTAGAGAGGAGTGGTGGGAAATATGGCTATAAATAGTTTAAATTCTGGGAGAAACCGGTATAGCCTCATGGTTTAGAATGTAGATTGTAGAACCAGATGACCAGAATTTGAACCTTCTCCTGGCCCCTTTTACGTTGTGTGACCTTGAGCAAATTGCTTCACTTCTTCTGTGCCCTCGGCTTTCTCATCTGAGGGTAATAATAGTACCCGTCTCATTGGGTTATTGGCAGTGTTAAATGAGATTGTACAGGTGAATCAGTAAGGATGGTGCATGGCTCCAAGGCAGTGCCCAGGAAATTGTTCACTACCAGTTGTTAGCAGACTTTAGTCCAGGTTTGGGGGCCTGAGGAGAGAGCAGACAGATGTGATGACGTGGTGCCTGCCTGCCTTCTGGCCAGCAGTCAGTATTGGCCAGCAGGGGACCCTGAGGTTGAGAGGTAAACTGAATACCTTGCTTTTGGGGAGTGTGAAGGGCCCAGATGTGTTTTAAAACAAAGTTTGTAAAACACTATGCAGTCTAAGCAAAAAAGTTTGCAGGCCACATTTGACCACACAGTTCATTTAAGGGAAAGCATCTTAGGATAACTTCATGGATAGCATGCTTCCCTCCCCTCCTTCCATGCTTCACATTTAGGGGATATGACATTTTAAAGTTCTACAAGAACGTAATCTTGTTTTTATGTCTATGTAATTTGTTTTTGATAATTTAGCCTTTAATAACAGGGTGATTATAGTTCTGTCATGCTGCTTGTGAAAGTTGCCACTTGTCCCATCTTACTTGTAATGGTGTTCCCTGGCATATTTCTAACACTTTAAGACTGCAGACTTTTGGGAAAAATCTGAAGATTTGCCTTGCTGACTGTAGGTATTTATTTTTGAAACAGTTGCATTACAGTTTTCTTTATAAGAGAAACGTAGACATTTTTAGACCCTGGAGAAATTCAAATATTGCTATATCGTTGTTGTTAGCTGCCTGCGGAGTCAGCTCTCAACTCATGGTGACCCCATGCACAACAGAGGACCGGTTGTGATCCATAGAGTTTTCATTGGCTGATTTTTCAGAAGTAGATCGCCAGGGCTTTCTTCCTAGTCTGTCTTAGTCTGGAAGCTCCGTTGAAACCTGTTCAGCATCATAGCAGCGTGCAAGCCTCCACTGACAGGTGGTGGCTGTACTTTAGGCGCATTGCGGGGAATTGAATTGAACCCTAGTCCCCTGCATAGAAGGTGAGAATTCTACCATTGTCTCATTGCCATATTATAGGGTTTTAGCCCTTCTGAAAAGTTCAAGAATTTAAATGCATGCCTATGTGTCTGCTTTTATTTATTTTTATTACCAACTGGTTTGTGACATTAATAGTACTATTCCAAAAGACAGACTTACTCGTTTGACTCAATGATACCAGTCCTTTGTACTGCTAAAACTTTACGTGCTGTATAATTTTAGAGCTGCTCTTCATAATTCAAGATTAGATGATACAGTGGGATCTTCCTCTTATTCAGCTCTTGGAGTCCCTGTCATAGGACCATTAAGTGAAACCACTTCAACCACCAGGCCCGGAAGCATTTAAAATAGATGAACCCATAGATGCATAACCCAAGTCCTGTAGATGGTGTGTCTCTGGCTGTGTGGTGGGTAAGTCTAAAGTATAGACTTGTAAAGTGTTTATCATTAACAAATATTGAACAAGGCAGCACGGAAAGCAAGTTCACCAGGTACCTGTCTTCAGGTGCTTATGTTTTAACTGGACATTTTAAAGCAGTATACCTAGGTGTATAATCTTAACCTTTATGGTCTAACTAACAAAGTTAAATTCTTTGCATTGTTCTCTGGAACCCTATTTAAATGTCTGCTTATTAGGAACAAGTGATCTTGAGATGCCTTAATTTCATGCCAGAAGGTAAATTTAATAACACAGGGGAAAAAGTTTTTATTAATTGAGTTCTGCCACAGTCAGCTAAATTTCTCAGGATGGGAACAATGTCCTCATTTTACAATTATTTAAAATTACCTTGAATCCACTGACAAGCATACATCATTGCTAAACACACAGAAAGTTCCCTATTTACAAATGTGTTGGGCTCCTGAAACCTGAAATACAAATTATTCCTGGTGCTTGGACTTTATTTTTTAATAGAAACAGTGTTAATAAAAGCTGATTAGATTCCCAAGTCCCAAACTTCTAAATTTTTTTTAAACTGAGTTAAATACAGGTAAAAATGCTATTTACTTGCAACAAAAATCAATAAAAAGCAATACT